TATACGGTGGAAGTTCGAAGCGAATCCTTTATTTAGTCCATTGGGGTAAATTGTTCTAATTCCACGCGCCATTTCTTTGGATATCTTAATTTCAGTTAATTCCCCTTGGTAACTTAACTCTAAGTTTTTTATTTCCTCTGCTGTGGCCAGGGTATTTTCGTGTGAGTGAATATAACAGATCTCTTTGGAATTGGAAGTCTACTCTCTGATGAACAATTCCAAAACATTATCTATTACAAGTTGACACCACCTAGTTTACAAGCGGTTTACCAATTTAGGTAGTAGCTAGTCTCGACGTTGCTTTGCTTCGGTGACCAAGATGGAAACCGCTATTTCAACTTGATCAGGATACAGCCCAAATAGCTAATGAAATAATGAAAAAATTAATCTCTGAACGTCTATTTAATTCTCATTCCCATTTTTTTTAATATAATTGCAGGACATTATATGTACATCAAAGCAAGTAAAGCATTTTGGCGCATGATGGTAGCAGGTCTAATATCACCACGATACAAAGTTGAGAGAGAGGCCTGTGTTCAGTTTTGGTACAATATGTATGGTGCACATGTATACAAGCTCGAGGTGTTTATCGGAAAAAAATTACGATGGGCAAAACAAGGCTCTCAGGGTTATGGATGGAAATCTGCTTTCATTTACACAAAAGGAAATTTCGATATTCAAGTATGTACCTTTTCTTTTCTTTTCTTTTTTTTTAAATAATTTCGTCCCAAGCAAGGCAATAAAGTCATTAAGACACAAGAGGTTACTGAGTGTGAAAGAATAAGCAAAAGAAGAACATTATTAAGGAGCAAGAACAACAAAAGAAGAGGAATCAAGTAGATAGTAATATAAAGATTAAAAATGCATCTAAATTTTTGAAGATCAAAGTTGGCTTGAAAGTAAGAAGCCAGAAGAAGAGTTCCACAGGAGAGAAAACAAACTGTTAGTAAACCAACTTACAGTTACATCTAGCCAAATCAACTGCAAAACTATGAGAACTTGTTGCCAGTCTAGTACGGTGCCACGCCTTTTGGATATCTGTTTCCCCACGAACACGTGATCCAGTGGATAAAAGCGTTGGTTATGTGAGCCAAATGTCACTTGACCGAAAGAGTCATGAGTTAATAACTGGCCACAGCAGAAGGAAGACAAAACTTAGAGAGTTAAGTTACTAAAGGGAATTAACTGAAGCTGAGATATCCAAACGAATGGCACGTGGAATTAGAACAATCTACCCCCATGGACTAAATAAAGGGTTCACTTCTAAATTCGAGCGTATATCACCTGAAGAAAGCCGGATCATACAACGGCTGAAAACGTAACAATATGACAATAAAGATGAGGACAACAGTCTGAACAATTTAAATAATGTAAGTAAATAATGATGATGCCATTTTGATATGTCCCGGATAGGGATATATTTGTCCGAAGTAGCTAAGTCGTTTTGGCTACTGTAACCGGATAGGACAATCTAGCAGGTAGCCGTAATGGACTGGTACTCGTAGGCTTAGGCAATAGGCGTAGGCAATATGCGTAGGTGATGTACCTCCATATCAGTCTGTATTTATGGCTGACACCAGCCAATCATATTACTGTGAGGGGGGACCCAGGTGCATGCATATTCATTACATCACATTTCTACTGCGTGTGGTTACAATGGTCCATCAAGAAGGTACATTTGAAACCTAACCAGGTGCTTATTCAAGTCGCAATGTTGAATACATAGCCTGAAGAACAAAATTTAATTTTCCACTCGTTCATTCTTCGAAACTTCCGGACTGTCGCTACAGAGTCACAAAACAAAGAACTTAACCAAGTAACAGAAACCACAAAACTTAAGGATTTTCAAAAGACAGCCACAACTAAAATAGAAAGTACGTGTAACTCGAATAGAAAATGGCATAATCAAAAAGTGGACGTTTCATCGTTGTCGACACCCGCTCGCATCCGTCCATTGGGATCGTCATCCGCTCTCTTTTTTTCTCTTTCATGGTGGCGGAGATGGTTTTGAATCAGTCTGATGAGACCGTTTGCATAAATTTGATTTTGGTGGGCAACTCTGTACGTCGGGGAAGCTCAGGCACTTGACCAGAATCGTCTCCCTTGGGTCCCAAAGGGGATTGAGACAGACGAGATCTAGCAAATCTGGTTGCGTCGGGCTGTCGGCTGCTTGTTCTGTCAAGGTCCGCCTTGGTTACGCTAGCCCGACTGGCGCTGCCCTCTTCTGCCTGTTTGGCCGTTGAGATTTTATAGATATTTGTCTATTCCGCCGATGGGTATTCAGGAGTTGGTCACGTTCAGTCTGGTCCTTCCTCTTTACCCTTACGGCCATCGGTGGCCCTACAGGAGTTGAAACTCCAGTCGGCTTCGCTCTTGGGATCACTGGGACAAGTAAACACTCTACCATATGGGACGATCATATAGATTTTAAATTGGATATTTGAGTGAACAGTTCGATATCAGATTTACCATTTTGACTTAGTACTTTAATGACAATATAGAAATGAATCAATAAATAAGAAAATAATAAAACTAATAAACGTTAAAGGAATTTTATTTGTTAACCAAAAAAAAAAAAAAACTACGAAAAAGCATAATTCAAACAAATGTTTGAGGTAACGTTTAATTTATAAGACCAAGGGCACACAACAAAAGCAGACGACACAGAGTTTTAAAAATGCTGAAGATAAATTTAACACACAAAAAAATGAAAGATTTACGCAAATTGAATGCTTTGTGTTCCAAATGAAAGCCAATAACACGTATGTGGAAATAATCACTGCAAATAAAGGATCCGTCTTTTAAAATAAAAATCACTAAGCTGCATAAGGTCCCCACAAAAGGTAAACAACATAAAATAAAGGAAAAAAGGTTGTGGAGTGAGTACTTATCTGAATAATTTTCAACGTACATGTACAATGTTCGAAGCAAAGTTCGTGGTAACAGTGAAGAACAGAACAATCACACCAGCCGAAAAAATTTTCTTGATGTAGAGCGACATAGACGTTCCTTTGAAATTCTCGTCTGTGATCGTTAAATTTCTTGTCATTTGTTCCTGCAGCTGTTGTTCGTCGACTCTTTCAATTCAGTTCTGTTTTATATTTTTTCGTTTATTTTTTTGTTTTGTTTTTGTTTTTTTCTTGCTTTTATTCACCATGATAAGCCCCAGACTTGCTTCTCGGAATTTATAGGGAAACCTTTTGATTAGTTCTGAGTGAAAACTAAACGCAGTTATTTTCTCACAAATCGGAATGGTCCAAAAATATTTTGGAAATTCAAACGTTTAAGCAAGAACCTGACATAGTGTCCGTTTTCTCCCAGAAAAAGTAGGTGACATATGCTCAAACAGCTTGAATTTCTTATAAGATATAAAATTATCATTAAATATATGAGAACATTAATTATAGCTTTTTTCCAAAATAAATAAATATTTGAAAGATAAATAATAAAGGAAGAAATTCACTACCGAACAATATATATATATATATATATATATATATATATATATATATACATACTAGCAGCATGGCCCGGCGTTGTCCGTGCTTGATTCAAAAATCGTACGGCTCATACAGCAATTGCTATCATCTTTGCCTTTAAATGGGTGCCCTTTGCTGTGCTGATGTTGCTACATGCCTTACTTCTTGCCTATCTCACACTGCAAATTTTTTCTAAGATCTATACTAAACATTAAATCTCTTACGAAAAAAGAACTAAACAAAATGAACACAAAACGATCAGCTTTAAAAAAAGGACTCGTAACTGGAAAAAACCGAATGAAAAAAAGAATGTTAACAACAAATACTTTTTCACAACCAACCCAGTTCTGCGGAATCAAAATCAACGTTGAGTTTAAGCAAGCGAATGAGCCAATTGGAGTAAAGTGCCATGCAGATTTAAATTTTTCCCACTTGTGACGAATGCAGCTATCGATTTTTTTTTTTTTTTTTGCATGGTAGCATGCTAGTTAACATTCGTGTCAGTCAGCTGTTGGCTCTCACGCTGGCCAATAGAATCTTCCTGCCTATTTGTGGCAGCCAGGTATAGGCTCTCACTCTGGCCAGTAGAAAATGGCTGCAAACTTAGTGAAAATTGCCGTAGAAGCATGAAAAAATCGATTATTTCCACTATCGATGGGAATTGGGAAATGCAAAGTCGATCGTGGCCTTCACGCTAACTTGGAACATGTGCATGTAAATTTAGGTGCAAATCCGTCAAAAATTGCGGCCGTGCATTCGTTACGCGCACACACACACATATCCTGCCTTTATATATATATATATATATATATATATATATATATTATATATATATATATATATAATGTTACGACTCGAAATGCTTTTCCTAGAGATTTGAAAATACGTCTTCAGTCCTAAAAATGTTAAGCTACTACAATCAATGAATAAGAAATAGATAACAATAAAATTATTTTGAAGTTTCATAATGCGTAAAGCAAAACGTTAGGAAGGAAACCTTCATCAGTACTGAAAAGAACGATAACTGTTAATGGATTCGAGAAACCCATTTTCCCTGAAAATTCTTTCAATAGAAATATTTTATAAATTTTAACCGAAAGTAGCACGAGCTGATCGATCAATGAATGCCGAATGTTTCCATATAAAGGAAACAACTATTATTATCATTATTATTATTATTATTATTATAGTAGAGGAAACGTACTGTATTTCACTGACTGCTCTTCAGGCTTCGTAATTTCGTATGATTCACTGTTTGGTTTTGTTGAGCGACAAATCAATCTCTATGGTTTATTTAATCCCGGAATCTAAATATTTTGTAAAATTTCTTTTTGAGATAATTATAGTTTTAGTGATACAAGTACTAATTAACCCATAGCTGGGGGAGAAAAGGTGGATTCATACCTTTTACCAAGGATATTTGTGCATAAGTGAAATATAACAAATTCAACTGGAATTGGAACTCTGTTCTCCAATCCAAAGTTCCGAGCCATTATCCATCACACCACCCGCACATCCAAGCTTACAGCACCTAATATTTCCAAACGGTTACTCATATAGTTACTGACCAGGCCCAAAGTTGTTTAACTTCGGGGATCATACAGGAAACGGTGTTTCAACGTGATGTGTCCATAAGCCGAAATGTAACGTTTTGTCCAGAATCCAAGATCCATTTAATAAAAAACAATAATGACATAAAGTATCCATGAAAATTTCACTGCTATTTCATTTGCATTTTCTGATTAATCACAATTCTTGCGGATTCTATGACAATAAAATACCCATGGAATTTCCCTTATTACGTCGTTTAATATTTAAGCCTAACAATTTAAATATATATATTGTAATAAAAATCGTAAGTATGAATGCAAATCATTTAAAGAAATAAATTAAAACATTCATAAATGACATGGTTTTCGATTTCACTGAAGCAGACGTTAAAAAAATATACATTATCGCCTCTGTTTTCTATTAGATTTTCTCACTGAAAGCAAACAGCGGTTTTTAAATGTCTTTGCTTGTGATCAACATGGTGTCGTCCATTATTTATCAGGTATTGGCAGGGCATTACGTACGGCATTACGTACGCCTAAACTAAAAAAAAAAACAAAAACAAGCAGAATTACAAATGCAACAAATAGATTTAACTGCCAGTTTCTTATTCCATTTCCACAAATGCTGTATAATTTTCCAAACAATATTTTTCTTTTTAAGTTAACATTTGAAGCTACTGTCGGAGACGGTAACAAAGGCGACATAGCCATTGATGATATTTCAGTCATGGAAGGCAAATGCCCTCCACCAGGTGAGTCACTCTTATCATTTTTGAATGAAAATCCTCAGAGAAGTAAGACATTGTCCGAAAGTTTTGTATGTGCAGGGGCTTTCGGCTATTTTAGCTACTATTAAGGATGACTTTATTTTTACTTTTAACTAAATGTATGAATTTTTTATGTATGTATCTAGAGTTACAGGAATGTTTTATGTTTTAATGGCCGTGATCATAGATGCTGTTATTGGGCTTTGGCTTTTTCTTTATGGATTTTTTTCCTTTTTTCTTTATTATTAGCTGTTTTTTTTTGTTTGTTTTTTTTTTTTACATTCGGACAATTTCTTCAAAATTCATGTCCAGAAAAGAAAAAAATCTGAGAACGCAAGAAAAATTAAATAAAAACTTAACCGCAGTACCTTGTCAGACGTGTTTAATGAAACTTGTATAAAAGAGGGTTTGCTTCCCAAATACACACACACGCATACAGACACGCACACACACAAACATATATATATATATATATAAATGTGTGTGTGTGCTTTTTTTTCCCTCTTCTAGTCTAGGCAATTTATATTTGTTTTTTCTTAAATCAGTCGCTGATAACAATTTTTCTTGTCAACTGTTTAGTTTTATTTTCCCGACGATTATATTTATTCTGAAGAAGTGTTGGCTGAAAGGTACCTACAATTTTAATCGCTGTTATACTTTTGTATCGTGTTTTTTTAATAAAATATGATCCCTTTTCTAAAGATCATATATATATATATATATATATACACACACAAAAGAGTTAAATTATTATTTTCATAGTTCTTTTGTGAATGTGTATATATATATATATATATATATATATATAAATATGATTCGAACACGCTACATAAGAGTTCTCATGTTTCAAAACAAGAGCCGAAAACTTCAATATAATTATTTGAATTAAAGTATTAAGCTCTGTTCCATCTTCGAGCGAAATTTTTTTTTGGAATTTAAAAATTCCCCCCCAAAATCCACAACAGATAATAATAATAATAATAATAATAATAATAACTGAATTTTGCAATAAAAAATAAATATAATATCAAAAAGAAAGATTGTTAAAAAAAACACTTACGGACTTTGTTGAATGTTGACGTTTTACACACAAATGGATCCCTCGAAGAGGTATGGCAAAAGTGGCACATTCACTATATTTATGCTCGTGAATTTTGGAAAGGAGTAAGCGTCGTAACTGCGACAAAAACATATTCAGAAGATTTATTTAGTACGTGCTGCAGTTCTTCAGATGGTGAAAAAGTGTTTTTTCCAGATTTCATCAGATGTGATTATTTGACCTAAACGATCAACCACGCCCCGGACAATATTCCGACGTCGATAAAGACACTCTGCTTGTCAAAGTACAAATCGGAGATACCAAAATCAAGCAAGTACAATATCTGAGAAGTATTATCTAAAGGACGGAAAGTGCGACACTTAAATCCGAAGAAGCATTGAGATAGACAAAGATGCTTTCCAAAAGTTCAGCAGAGTATTAAGAGGGAAAAACTTCGTTAGAAACCAAGAAAAGCCTACTGAATGTCCTCTCATATGGCAGTGAATGCTGGGCATTCTCTTCACTCAAAGGTGGAGAGACTTGAAGCAGAAGAAATGTGGTTCTACAGAAGGATGCTGAGGATACCGTAGACGGAATATGGGAGCAACGATGAAGTTTTAGAGAAAATGGAAATAAAAAAGGAATTTATACTTAACATCATCAGTTGAAATTTCTATGGCACATAATGAGGAAAGATGACTTGGAAAATCTGGTACATGATTGAGAGAGAGAGGAAAACAACGCATAAGATAATTGATGGGCTTGAGTAAATGGATGGCAGAATAAGGTTTAGAAGAAATAGCAAAGAGGGCAAAATTTATTAAGGACTACAAAGGACAGGAAGTTGCGGAGAGCCATAATCGCTTACGTTCTTAATGAATACGGTATATAAGAAAAATCGGCCACAAACTTTTGCAATAATCTAGCATCTGATAATAGGTACAAATTCATCATCCGTCAAAACTGTTCATTTGATTAGACTCGAGAAACTTGAAATTCCAAGTAACCCTCTCGTAAATGACATATATTTCATGAACCCACCTATATAATAAATACGTGTGTCAGTGTATCACAGTGTCACACTTTTTCAACTTTACTCCTAGAGACCGTAACCCAACATATCATACCATTTTGGAATCAGGTCGACTCCGTGAACAAATTAAAAACATTTCGGGTTGGATCCGAACCAGAAATCCTGAAATTTTGGATTCCCAAGTTTTCATTACTACAATTATTTTCGGCTATAATTTTTGCGTGTTTTTTTTTTTTGTTTTTTTTTTTTTTTTTTTTTTTTTTTTTTTTTTTTTTTTTTTTCGCGACGGCTTTTTTGTACAATAACAATTTTTATAACTTGGAAATAAATTTGGGAATAATCGAAATTAATTGCGAAATCCAGCGAAAGTCACCCATGGAATAAAAATAATTGTTTCTACGGAAAGTAAGGACCTACGCCCATCAAACTGTCCTTAAATTAAATGACGGAAGAAGAATTATTGTTGAACTTTTAAAAGTTAAGCATAAAAATTAATGCAATAATTAAATTTAGCGATCAATTTTGAGTTCTTCTGTAGTTTATTGTTGCCTATCACATCTACTCCCCCTTATTATGATGAAGGCCCAGTCAAAACCCTTTGCTGGAGCTAGCATAAATGGCGCCCGATATGACGGCTTTTAAGCTAGTATTTAATAAACTGAAAAATTATATCTATAAAAGTATAGATATATGTTCGCTATTTACAATTTTCATTCTAGTCTGACACAAGCCATCTTCTTGCATTTGCTATTGACAAACCATAAATGTTTAATGCAATATTGTGAATTATATTCAGTTGATCTCTTTCTTTTCTGTTTTCAGTCGATTGCTCCTTCGAAAACTATCTTTGTGAATGGTCGAATAGTAGAAATGACGATTTTGATTGGTCGCCTGGAACAGGGAAACATTTACATGGCGCACTCGGCCCAAATACTGATCACACGTTCAAATCATCTAATGGCAAGTATTGCACGCTTTCTCACTAACCTATTGATTAAGAGCCAACTAAATGGTAAATATGGATTAGGAAAAATTATCATCTGACCGCAAATTAAAACTTCCAGGGCTTGTTAACTATCTAGTGAACTCGTGCTGTAAAAATGATCGCAATTGGTAGAAGTGAGAGGCAGTGAAACAAGTCTTCAAACAATGTACTGAGATTCAATAAAGCGGAAATAAAGAATTCACAACTAAACTAAAGTTCAATATTGAACCGTTTGATTGATTCGTTCCCTTTGTATTTTTTAGACGTCCAATGATATCTATGATTCATTTATTACTCTTGGTATTGTATAAATAGTTTTTTGATCAATATTTTTTCATGTTAAACATCTTATATGTCTGATATGACAGTGAAATAGAAATTTATTTTGGAAGAAAAAAATTATCAAGAAAAAGCTGAAACCATAATAGACAAAGGTAACTGCCTTCCTCACATAAAAAGCTTGAACAAATATGACTGCAATCTAAGAAATTTAAGATTAAAGGAACTGGTTAATTAATGGTTCATTTTTAATCAGGACTAATTTTGTCTACATGTAGATAAATATTTTATTTGTATAGATAAACGAATCAGTGGTAATGACTCATAAATTTACTAACTAAAGTTGATTTGCCTCCATCTTTACATGGGACAGAAAATATATAAATACACACTGATAATTATTATATGGTTTGATGATAATCATAGGCAACGCCCATTTTCAAGCAAAACTGAATTTATTTGGGAAAGATATTAGAATAATCCGGAACATTTACTGTGGACAAATCGTCTACATCCCGAGAGAAAATGAATTCAAGTAGTACACAAAATAGAAGACTGCCAATAATAAGGACACGTCTTTTCTCTAGATTCATTTAATCGTCATATCGAGGCGATCTTAAGATGTTTTAGTTCGAATTCATTATTTGCCGGTACAATGTTAATAGAAGACACAGATGGCGCCGTGTTGATGTCAGATCCGGAAAGAAAAAAATCAGGATCTACTAGACAAATTAATAAAAGAAAGCGTGAAGAAAGGCCTAATTAACAATTGCTAGAAGAAAAAAATGAATGGTTGTTAGCACAACGAGCAACCCAAGATGCGAGCTACGAATTGGAGACGTCAGAATCAAGCAAATAAAGAAATTGAACTGTCTTCAAAGTGTTTTCACAAAGGACAGAAGTGTCATAGAGGAATACATAGGCGCACTGGAATGACAAAAGGTGCATTATATAAAATATTAAGAAAAAAAA